AAGTTGATCTGCACAATGACGAAAGATTTACAGAAAATGGTACACTCTTCCCGATCAACGGTTCAAAGCAAAAACTGAAAAGAATGATGTACAAAGCTACACACCGGCGGTGTATCGGTGGTATAACAGTCCTCCAGAAGTAACGTTAAAGTATTCTTTGATCAAGTTGATATATGTGCCATGCCTATGACAACGAGTTCTGCTCCTTGGGGAGGGGGATGCGAGAGAGTTGTTTCCTTCCACCTTAAAAGTAACGGGCTGTTCCTAGAGCGGCGTTAAGATTTTCTTATTAACGGCAAATTTTATTGAGTAACAAATTCACCTCATCCTGCTTCGATGCAACCAGACGACACGGGTATGAAGTTGATCTGCGAATAAGGCAGACGTGTTCTGATACGGTTATGCTACAGCGTACGTGATATATAACCATATGCATGCGCTTTATGACTGAAAATTCTCACAAATCAGCCTACCAGCCGATTAAAAATCAGCACGGGTTGCAAGCCGTAAGTAAATACTGCCTGAGAAGGCGACTGAAAATACAACGAGCAGGAATGTTACTTCGAGGAGCGACAAGCGTTCGAGATAAATCCTGCTTCTTAGACCCCGACGCACAGGAAAAACGCGTTGGATAGTTTAGGCATGCAGTGAAGACGCAAGAGTGAAAGCTAGATAAAACACTAGTTATTTAGCCACATGACAACACACAAAAAGCAGATTTAGGGTCAGGTGACTGGACTACATTGGACTCTCTGGTATCCGCACAGGAGAGCTTGTTCCATATACGAAAAGTTGGGACAACTGGAGAAACCTTTTAAAGCTGCTGCCTCACAACTGCAAATGAATAGCGAGTTCCGATAAGACAACATGGAATGTTTGAGTTGCAACAGGTCTCTTTGAGGCAATAAAAACTGAAAAAACGTGATATAAATTTCACAGTAGAGAAACAACAGTTGGAATAAATACTGTTAGTCATGCATAATGATGAGATATCAGAACTTTCGATGCTGAAAAGATGGCCAAAATTTGATCCTGAAATAATAGGACAGCAGGGTAAAGTTTGAACGGCGCGAACATACACAAAGAGTAAAGATGTTGGTGTATGAAACTATAGTTCTGTTGTGTCTTCACGTCTGATTCAGACTCAATTAAATGGACCATTAACAGAAGTGCATAACACGTACTACTGATGCTGTTTAGTTATTTTCCAAGAATGCTGCACCATTGTTAGTTTCCTCTTTCATCCTCTTCAAAGAAACTTGGATCAGTCTGGCAGACAAATCGAACTGTGATATTGTTGTCGAATAGTTGGATTTTCAGACCCTTAAAATGATTCATCAAGCCAAATGCATGGTAGGACCATAACTTATTTCCACTTCGAAATAAGCACTAAATTTCTTCATATGAATCCTGCTGCCGCACAGACGTCATTCCTGTTTCACGTTCAGGAAATACATGTGTCCTCGCTGTGCAGCAAGAATTTCA